CCTTAAGTGAGGGGAAAGTTCATCTGGTTTGACAAATTCCATGTTTGGACTAGAAAAATTTTTAGTCAATAACAGTTTTTCTTTTCCTCTTTGAAGATTTTAATTCAAGTTTTCCCTTTTAGATCTGAAACTAGAGCTAACTCATCATCCTGGGGTTATTTAAAAATTTTGCTTCTCTTTCTTCCCTCTCCTGCTAGCCTTTTTGTCATTTTTTTGGTCTTTTTTTTTAGACACTGCCAAAAACCTGGATATGAGGTACATTTAGATTAGGAATTTCTGTTATTTTTTAACAGCTATGTGAAGTATCAGGCAAAACTGGACCTGGAGGCAAAATTAATTCTGATGACAGAGGGGAGTAAAGAAGAAAATTAGGCTGAATTATAGGCATTTATAGAACAGAATTTATGGTTTCTTTAAGTTCTACCTCAAATAATGTTGAGGTGGAAAAACCAGTAGACTAGGGACTCAAAGTGAGAAGATCTTGGTTCTAGCCTTAGTTCTTCCAACTAACTTTATTGTGTGTCCCTGGGCTAGTCACTTCTCTTCTGGGTCAGAAGTTCCTCACTTATATCTTAAAGTCTGAGGCTTAATACAAAATTGTCTCAGAGAAATTCCTCTAATGGATATCAACTTCTGATAATTATCATATACTTCTAAAAAGGCTTTTAATGGCAACCTTTTTTTAAAAAGCACTTTGTTACAAGTTTTCTTCCACTATTAATTTGCTCACTCTGTTTTTATATTTGATAACTTTTAGTTTAATTCATGTGGATTATTAACCTATTAATCAATGAGGTTTAAATCTATAAGTATTCACTGCACTAGACTAATTAAAATGAGATTTTTGGAAGAACAACCAGGTTTCAGCTCAGCCCATTCTCCATTACTTGAGTATTATGAGATTCATACTTTATTTGCTATTTTGTCATTTTCACTTAGTTTTGCAAAGTTCTGTTCGGCACAAGACTCACAATGGTATTTAACAAAATGATATCACCTTAAATGGTATTACATGCCAATGTATGTTAGTAAATGAATGAATAAATTTAGGTAAGGAGACAGCAATAAAAATTTATGCCATTCTTACTGTCGATACTGAGAAGGGAATATGACAAACCTCATAATAAAGGAAGTAACAGATGAAAAGGAAATCTTTAGCTACTTCCAAGTTCTCAGTCTTGGCCTCAGGAAAAAATCTGAAATATAAATCTGCTTACCTTTTCCTGGGAGAACCATTTTTCCAGTACAAGAAACCAGACCCAGGCTAATCTTTGAGGGTTGATGTCCTGTCCACATCTGAAAAATGTGAAAAGAAAGAATTTCTAAACAAAGAGTTTCTACTGACCTTTACTCTTTTGTGACCCAAGATTTAGATTTCACTGCTCAGTCTGTTTTAAACCTAAACAGGCAAGAAGACATTGTCCTAATGAGAAATTTTCAATTTTATGATAAATCAATAAAACTAGAGCCAGAACAGGGCCAGCAGCTTTCATTAAAAAAAAAAAAAGGAAAAAAAATTGCACCCCTACCTCCAACTCCCTATCTAGTCTTTATTATTTTTAAATGAAATAACATTCATAGAAAACCATAAAAGCAAGGCTCCTAAAGTATATTCTTGAAAATAGAAACTGAATCAAGTAGTCTTAAAGAAAAAAAAGGAATTTCATGAAAATTTATTTTTAACTCTATGCTGAAAACAGGGGTATAGGAATTCATAAGGCTTTCTTTGAAGTTAGTAATTTAGACAGAAACTGGCTAGAACCCAAATGAAATAAAAATAAAGGGAAAAAAGAATCACCTAAGTCTCTACTCTGTATGTGTTCAAACAATACAACAAAGCTGTCAAAGTAAAAAAAAAAGTGAAGGAGAGAGTAGACAGCACATTAAATTGTTATACAACTGGTTGTTAATAGCACTGCCAGGAAGAGCTTCATTAGAAATTTAGATAGAGAACAGTGCTTGCCAGGGTACAAAGAGGGGTCAAAATACAAAGAGGTATTCCCAGGGAGTGAGGGAATTCTTTTGTGGTGATGGAAGAGTTCTGTATCTTGATTTTAGTAGTAATTACATGAATCTGTACCTGGATTAAACTGCAGAGAACTACATATATAAAAACAAATCCACATTTAAAAAATGGTGACAACTTAATAAGGTCTATAGTCTAGTTAACAGAAATGCACCAATGTCAAATTTTCTGATTTTGATATTGTACAATATGTATATGAGATATCACAACTGGGAGAAGCTGTGGAAAAGATACTCTGTATTTTTTTTGCATTTTGTGAATGTGAAACTTAACTTATATAACTTTCAACATAATATTTATATAATTATTTCAAAATAAAAACTTTAAGTGAAGTGACTTCCAGTCCTTTGTTAAAGCTGTAATACCTTCAATTACATAAGCAAGAAGAGAGCAGGGTTTGCTTTTCTGGGGGCAAAGGAAATGCTTTTCAATGCAGTTCCACTATCTACTTTAATGATAATAATCAAGAAATGGTGGTTTCAGGCACACTTTGCTGGCCAGGCTTAAATGTAGTTTCAGATGATAACTGAAAGCCAAACCGATTAAATACTAAACATGTATTAGGTAAATTTTCAGAGCATGAGAAATACACTCTGCCTCTGATAATTCTTCAGAGCATAGGTGAGAGAGGCACATTGACCAGAGCCCAAATATTGACCTTGTGTCTCCTGCCCTGTGACTGCCTAGAATAAAGAGAGATCCCTTACCTCAACTGATCTGGACACACCACCAGCGCCTGAAGTATATCTTCCACCTTTTTTGGGATATCCCCTTGTGCCTCGTGTAGCTGAGGTACACATGCCTGAGCCAGCTCCCATTCTCCTCTGCGAAGGCACTCACAGAAAAACCCAAAAAGTTGCTTCTGAGAAGCAGTTTCCTCTTGTCCAAATGGATGATGCATTTTCCCAGCACAGAGTGCAGGGAGATAGAAAAGAGATGAATTACGCAGAACACATTGTCAATTTTCTCATTCGTAGAGCACCTCCTAGAAACAATACACACCACAATGAGGAGAAACGGAAGGAACTATAATTAGACAAACTAGTAACTACTAGCCCGTCTGGGAAAAGCGGTACTTACTTCCCTAATTATTGTTCTAAGTTTGATTTGAGGTATTACTCTTTTTGAGAAGTTCCACCTTTCCCCGAGGGGTGGAGCCCATCTCTCTACACGCATCCAATATTTAGTTAATCTTTATGGTCTATTAGCTCGGGGTGCAGACCCATAACTGTACTTTCGTATTCCCCACTTAACTTTACGCCCATTCCGACTCCAAATCCACGGTCGCCTCCTTAAGGATGAGAAATTCAGCAGGAATCTCCCTAGTTTGAGCCCTCTCTTAAGGCAGAGGAGTGAGGTCTGGAGAAGAGTCTGTGTTAGAGCTGAAGGACCGTGGGGATTGGGGCTGAGGGACGCTCCCTACAGGTGTCGTGGAGAGCGCCCCCGCCTTCTTTGGGGCGCCTTACACTCACCCGCTCCAGGTGCCCAAAGCAATAGAGCTTCCAGCGCAGCCATGTTTGAACCGAGTCAGGTGATAGGTCCCATTCGGGAGGTTGCCCGATGGCGGGTGGGGTGGGACGACAGACAGCGGCTACTCCTATTGGTCAGTGGAGGGACGATGCAAATAAGGCGCCATATTTGTTTGGGTCACGTGACGCCACCTCTTGGGACTAGAGAAAGCTAGGACCCCGAGAGAGTAAATCAGCTAACTGGCTAATAAGGACAGTTCCTCTCAGTTTTGACCACTCCTCCGCTCAGCACCTTTTGTTTTGCGTTTGGCGGAGCAGGTGGCAGGAATATCAGTGTCCCTTGATTTTTTTCTTCTTTTACTCCCTAGCATTTGAAGTCAGCTTTTAAATAAGTGCTCGCCAGTAGCAGTGTTTTGCCAGGCCTTGGGAATAACGAGAGCAAGGAAACCTGGATCCTCCTCCATTGTTATTCTATCCACTTGGGCTCTGTTATAATCCCAGAATCCTACGTCCTGAATTCCCATTGATTTATTTGCTTATTTACCCGACAACCGTTAATTGAACGGGGTGCTAAGTCCTACTTTACAGGCTGGTTAAGGTACGAACCCTGTCCTCGAGCTCACAGTCCAGTGAGGAGTGCAGGCCAGTAATTAGGATACAGTAGGCTAAATTATAGGATAGAAAGTGCACAGAGATGAGAGCAAAGAACGAACAAAAGCTTTTTTGCAAATATAATACTGTAATCTGAAACCGAGTCTTAAAGCAACAGTTTACTAAGATTCCTTATCACAGCTGCTTTTACACATAAACTTCTGTTTGCTTTCCTTCATGGTCTCCTTAAACTACAGACTCTAATGTTTCCCCATTACGTGTTTTCGGTTGAGCAATTTCACTCAGTAATTCCCAAACTATTGCATCACCAAAGTGTGGTGAAAAAAGCAAACCCAGGAATTAAGCATCTGCCTTTGGCTTAGGTCATGACCCCAGGGTCCTGGGATGGAGCTCCATTAGGGGTCAGCGGGGAGTTGGCTTCTCCCTTTCCCTCTGCCCCTCCTCCGGCTCCAGTGCGCGCGCGCGCGCGCGCTCTCTCGCTCAAATAAATACGATCTTTAAAAAAAAAAAAAAGGAAAAATTAAAAGAAAAAAGCAAACCAAAATAAACCCAAGCTCTCTTTCAAAACCGCTTCTAGGATAGGTAGATTCTTATTTATTCCCTGAAAACTAACATGTCTCTCTGGTCCATTACACATTTTTTAAAGGTAGTGACGAAAGAAAAGACACAATTCCAAGCAAGGTTTTTCCTGGCTTCATTTTCTCCTTGCTGCTGTTCCTCTACAAGATTTTGATAATCATTGTATTGAGAAAGTGACTGGAACGCCTCAAGTGATTATAGTGTGAACTACAATTCCCTGCAAGCAGGGGACCCAACCTGGGACTCTTCCTACCTCTGATTGGGTATTTCGCCAGAGTGACGACCCAGTCAGCATTTGGGTTGTTGCCTTATGGCGCTTTCCGCGGGGAACTTTGAGGGGTGGGGGAAACTTTGAAAGTTGGATGCTACAGACCCGGTACTGGAAAGTTTCGTGTGGGGGGCGTTTGTGGGGAAACGGGATGCGCTCCTTATTTTCTGCTCCTTTTCTGGGCCCCTCTCTGTGTTACTGATTTCGGGGTAGCGGAGACTCTCTCTTTGGTCCAGTACACGCCCCCTTAGGCCTGTAGGCATCTTAACAGGAACCTCGCCGCGGATCTGGGGGCTTTTGGCCTTCTTTTGTGGGGGATGCTGGGAAGCTGCTCCTTGTTGGAAAAAATTATTTTTAGGGGATTCCAGGGTGACATTTTCGCCTTTTGATACCCACCTCCCCTCTCCCATTTGCGGGCTGTTCGGAGTCTCGGCAGGGGAGCCCGTCATTAAGGGAAGTTTATGGTCTGCTCGCCTTCTGGTGGTGTTGAAGAAGACGTAGTTAAAGCGAGGAATCTGGAGCTCGATCTCTGGATTCGAATGCGGACTCAGCCATTTACTAGCTGATAGACTTTGCACAAGTTTTTCAATTCGATGCCTCAGTATCCTTAGTCTGAAAAGTGAGGTAAAACATCGGACGGAAGCTCTTGGAACAGTACTTGGCATGTAATAAGGGCTCAATAAATACTAGCTATTATCGTTAACAGTTTTCATTGAACATCTTACATAAGGATTTTTATTTTGTTGAGGAGGGAAGGTTTCAATCTTCAGGATGGAATAGCTTCCCTCACCCCTGTTTACCTGTGCGGGCATGCCGTACACACACACACACACACACACACAGCAGGAATTTAAGTCTGGTGGAAGAAACGAACACGCAAGCTGTAATAATAACGTTAATAAGATTATCCAACAAATATGTACAAAGTATGATGAGAACATTGGAGAGGAAGAGAGTGAGTTGGGGGCAGGCTTTGTGGAGGAAAATCAAGGAGTCAGGACTGACCGTTGGTTTAACCTACCAATATATTGTGGCTAGAGAGCCGATAAGAGGCGGTGAATGATGTTTTGCTGCCTGAATTGATAATGGTAATGATTGTTAACCTTGAGCTGTGTGTCAGACACCATCCAAATCCTTTAATCTTTCACTACATTCCTACGAGGTAAATATTTGAGTTACCCTTGTTTTTACAGATGAGGAAACAATGACGCCAGGAGATGAAGTAGCTGCCAGGGAGGCCAGGATCTGGGCCTTGCAATCAGATGTATGAATGAGAGGGATGTGAGAGACCAGTTGATGAAGGGTCTTTATGCGATCTTAAGAAGTGTGGAATTTATCCCATGGGTAAATTACAATGGTCCCACAGGTAGTTTTGAAGGATGACAGGATTGGAGCGAATTTTTAGGTAGCTGCCTCTGGCAGGATTGTGGCACTGACCTGACTTTTGCAGACCAGTTTGGTGCTTCTTCCTGTCTGCTTCCATAGCACATTTAAATGCCAATGACAGTACTCATTGCATTGACTGTAATTATTTGTGTATACATCTCTTTTCATCTTTTACTGTGAGTTCCCAAAGGGCAGGGAATATGCTTAAATGATTCTTGTACCCAAGGGCTCAGCAGAGCCTGTGATTAAGAAGTGTCTGTGGAAGGAGCCAAATGGATTTTTTTTTTTTTTTGGTAGTGTAGGGAATAACCCCCCCACACCAGGCAGTATGCATAGTACAGACAGATGATGGGAGTGGCTCTAATAAGGCTGAGATAGCAGAGTTGGTTATTGTTAAAGTCCAGGTAGTTTGGGTTTCCCTTTTTGATTGAATTTATCAGTCTAAATGGTGTTATTGCCCAGAACTACCTGATCTGTAAAGACAGTAAACTATTTGGGAAACAATTCAATACTGACAAATTCCCACTGAGAGAAAAGAAAGGGATGTATTTTGTGTTTGGGAGGTGTGTGTGTATGTGTGCATGCACACGTGAATGTGAGAGAGAGAGAGAGAGAGAGAGAGGGAGGGAGAAGAGGGGGAGGGAGGGAGAGATTTCATTTAATTCAGAGAATTTATATGTTATATAGAAATTTGGGCTGTGGTATTGGAAATAAACTGGTATCTATATTCTCAGTACTATGTATTTTTGTTCCAAAATGTCACTCCTTTTCTGAGAACTATATTGCTTTATTGCCTGGAACCATGAAGAGTTCCTGTTTCTCCTCTATCCAAAGAATATCTTTCCATCTCAGTGAGAACACAACTTCTCCTTTGCATGCATAATGAAAGGAATCACAGTGATTGTGTTCTAGTTCTCTGAAGGCAAATATTTCATGAGCCTCATTTAGCCCTAGTGAGGTTCAACAACAAGAGTGAAATTTAATTGCATGTGAGAATGTGAGAAGCTAATACAATAAAAACAATTTCAGTTTGTAAGTAAGACCTGGAATAATAAAATCTCATTTGATTCAGAGGTTTGCTCTGCCTCATAGAAAAAGGAGAGGTTAAATATGATTATGGACTTGTAGTAGAGTGTTAACAGTTAAGAGGATAAGTCTTAGAGTCAGACTTCCTGAGTTGAAATTCTGGGTCCACCATTAACTTTTTCTGGTGACTATGGAGTAGCTAACATTTCAAGGCTTTAGTGTTCTCATACGTAAAAATTGGATCAATAATCAAACTTCCTTATAGGGCTGTTGAGAAGATTAAATGTGATAATTTATGTAAAGCTTTGGAACAGTGTCTGGTACATAGTAGGTGCACAGTAAATTGTTGTTACAGTGCAATGAAAGTAAAGCCTTTCTGAGGAGTGCTGCTTGGAAATATTCCTTGAGGGTTAATTACGTATCCAAATAAAATTTATAAATGCATTGAAAATCTTAAGATGCTATACAAATGTGAAGTGGTGTTTTTATATTCATGTAAGAAATACCAAAGAATTGTGTGAAATGCACATTCTTACATTGTATTGTTTCTCTGTGTGGATGTTTGGCAGACATTTAGGAGGATCCTGTAGCTGTCCTTTATTTTATCAGTAATATTTTAAATACTGTACATTTTATTTTGTCTCTGGAGAAGCTTGAAGAGTTTTTTATTTTGTAGCGTGTTTTGGATACTGTCTACAGTTGCTTATGCCCTTTTCCAATTCTTTTCAGGGTCCTTTTTCTGCTGTATCTGAAGGCATGGGTAGCAAGAAACTCAGACGAGTGGGTTTATCACAAGAGCTGTGTGACCGTCTGAACAGACATCAGATTGTTACCTGTCAGGTAAAATTTATGTACTTTTTCTCATGGAGAAACTTTAAGTACAAATTAATTTTAAATATACCCTTAATAACTTGAAAATAAGCCTGAAATGTGAAAATTGAACTTTCTAAAAAAAAAAGAAAAAGATAAATTATAGTGCTTCTCCAAAAGCTAACTGAAAATAACAGGCCACTTAGGTTGTATTTCCAAATGTGATTTCATTTTTTTTTTTATCCAGATTCCAATATGTTTGCATTTTGGGTCAGGGGAGAATGCCTATAGCATAATGTAAAGTATACTCATGCCATTTATTTGGGATTCTAGAGAAGTTTCATCCACTTGAAAGAAATTTTGCAGTTACATGAGAAATAGGACTTAAATGAGGAGATGGTATTCAAAATGGATTATGTCTCTTGCAAGCAAGAGAAATTAATAGAATAATTTTCCTATCAATGAATGAGAGAAATAGAGCAGATGTTGCATTTTTTTTTTAAGATTTTATTTATTTGAGAGGGAGAGAGAATGAGAGAGAGCACATGAGAGGGGGGAGGGTCAAGGGAGAAGCAGACTCCCTGTCGAGCAGGGAGCCTGATGCGGGACTCGATCCCGGGACTCCAGGATCGTGACCTGAGCCGAAGGCAGTCGCTCAACCAACTGAGCCACCCAGGCGCCCCAGATGTTGCATTTTTAAGCACAATAGTGAAGCAGATCCCTCTTAGGTTAAATAAGGTTTTATGTTAGGATTTAATCCTTAATAAGACAGATTTTCAGCGTATGCTGCAATTTTAAAAAATTGCTTTGTGTGTTAATGGTATTTTGATTCCTCTTACACATCTAATAACCCTCATGTTCATACTTGAAGACACTCTTAAAAGTATGAGACTTAACATTTCATTCCATAGTCAGTTTTATTGTCTCAATTACTAAATACTTCCTCTGAATGATCTCATAGCTTAGTAAGAAACCCATTTCAACCTGACACATTCTGGTATCTGTGCCCAAATTCTGGCCTAGGGCGGTGCTCATATACACCTGGGTTGGAGGCTGCTGCTATGTGATGTTACTTGATATGTCCTCTGATACATGCTAACTAAATTGGAGAATTAGAAGATAAGTTTATGGCATCATATCTTTCAGTTAAGGCATATGTAGGGGGAAATACTATAAGAAACATATAAACCTTTGATCTACAACAAATTATGCTTTATCTATACATGGATACTGTCCATGAAAAGTTTCTTTTTAATTCCAATATCTTTGTTGCACAAATATGTTTAAAATAGTCTTTTTATTGTCTCTTTAGGACTTTTTATGTCTTTCCCCACTGGAGCTTATGAAGATGACTGGCCTTAGTTATGGAGGTGTCCATGAACTTCTATGTATGGTCAGCAGGGCCTGTGCCCCACAGATGCAAACGGTATATATATGTATTTTATTATGCTTTGGTTATGATTTTTGCGATCATTCTTTATCTCATTTAAAATCTTTTTTGGGGGGCGCTTGGGTGGCACAGTTGGTTAAGCAACCAACTCTTGGTTTCGGCTTAGATCATGATCTCAGGGTCATGAGACTGAGACCTGTGTTGGGCTCCACTTTCAGTGGGGAGTCTGCTTAAGACTCTCCCTCTGCCTTTCCCCTCGGCATGCATGCATACATGCATGCACATTCTCTCTCAGATAAATAACTCTTTTAAAAAAAAATCTCTTTTGAGATGAGGCAAAAGCAAAAATAGAGATGAACACCTCAAAAATATTGATTCACACCATCGAGTTAGTCCTTTAATGAGAATATATGTGAAAAATTTATGTAGTTCATGGGAGACAGTTCCTAATTATGGGAATGAGGAAGGAACAGGAAGTTTTTTCCTCTGTAGCTAATAGTGATATTTCAAAAGGTCATCTTTGTCTTTTGTTCGTTTGGGTAGAATTTGTGGGTCTCACGGTTAAGTTATAATATACTCCTAATTTTAGAATACCCCTGTCTCTGTAATACTAACTTTTATCATCATCAGTCTACATCATAAAGTACATATATTGTATTTACACTTGCTTATTGATTGAATAAATAATACTTAAGAACTTTGCTCACTCTTTTTTTTTTTTTAAAGATGTTATTTATTTATTTGAGAGAGAGAGAGTGCGAGCGAGCCTGAGCTGGGGAGAAGGGCAGAGGGAGAGGGAGCAGCAGACTCTTGTTGAGTGCAGAGCCTGAGCAGGGCTTGATCTGAGATCATGACCTGTGCCAAAGGCAGCTGCTTAACCGACTGAGCCACCTAGGCACCCAAAAACTTTGCTCACCCTTGAGAAGAGTTAAAGTCTTTTATAACAAATCCTCATCAAGTTGTAGTATTTTTTTATACTTTCTGTTTCATAACTTTAGCTTTTCAACATGTGGGTTTAGTGCATGGTTTGAAAAGATCTTGTTTTCCCAGAATAAGAGTGCCTAAAAGTCTGTTCAGTGCTTTACAAATGTATTTATTTAGGTGGATTATAGATTACTTACCTTACATCTTATACTGAAATTTGGTAACCACTGAGCAATAAAGTGGAGTTCAATTCTATGAAGTGGGAAGGAAGGGATGTTAGTGTCATTTGAAAATTCTGAAATTAATGAATAGATAGTCTTTTCTTTTGTTCAGATTTAGCTTGTGATCTAAGAAAATACCTCATAGGCAAAGTAGCCAGAAGAATACGAATTGGAGCTGGGGATTGGCACTGTCTTAGCTTTGTCATTGACCTTGGTGCTTTGAACAGCTCGCTTTGTTTTATGGGAGAAGGAAGAGAGCTAAAATAGTAAGTGATGATTCTGTGACCAGGTTCAAATTAACTTGTTTCTATTTTGAAGCTTGTAAAGCACCAAGAAAGTGTTTTAGTTTGATGTGTGTCATTCTGTTTGGTCAATATCTATGGCATATTTCTAGTTAGGGGATTAGTTAGGGGAGAGCATGGGCAGGAAATTCACCTTTCATCTCCACTTCTGCTACCAACTTCAGCCATGGTTTCAATACCATTCCAAATGCCGTTTCAAGAAGCCATCTTTCTCCTTTGTTGTATGTTCATTTCTGTAGCATTCTGTAGATTTGGGTCTTGCTTCAAACGTTGGCTTAGCATCAGTTCATTTTTCCAGGGAAGATTTTTTTTTGTTCATTTATATATTCCTTTAACTAGTATTTATTTCGTGCCAACCATGTAGCAGGTACTCTGTCAGGTCCTGGCGATCTTGTAGTGAACATGGTAACATCCTGCCCTCATGCAGCTTACAGTCTAGTGGGAGAAGTCAGACATTACACATATAATTACATAAACGGTTATTTGTAGTAATGATAAGTCCTATCAAGGAAAAGTACAAAAAGCTCTGAAACTTAGTAACAGGGTACATTACTTAGTTCTGGGGTTGGGAAGGGCTCCTCCTGGGAAGTGACACTTTAGCTAAAACCTGAAGGATGAATAGGGGAGAGATAGGCAAAGTCAGGAAGGAGGTGAGCATGGAGGAGTCTGCAGGCAGTGGGACCGGGATGTGCAAAAGCCCTGTGAAGAGAAGGAGAATGGTGTTTCCTGGCAGTAAAACAAGGCTGGTGTGAATGGAACATAGCGGTGAGGAGCAGATTGACCTCAGAGATGAAGTCAGAGAAGCAAGCAGGAGTCAGATCATGGGGCTTACAGACCATGTAAAGGATTTTGAACTTTATTCTGAGAGCAATAAAAAGTCATAAAGGTTATAATCTGTGTTTTTAAAAACTCAGTCTTGCACAGAGACTTTATCAAAAACATGATTGCAGGCACATCTCAGGCTGACTGTGCTGTCCTGATTGTTGCATGCTGCTGTTGGTGAATTTGAAGCAGGTGTCTCCAAGAATGGGCAGGCCCATGAGCAAGCCCTTCTGGCTTACGCACTGGGTGTAAAACAACTAATTGTTGGTGTTAACAAAATGGATTCCACTGAGCCACCCTACAGCCAGAAGAGATAGGAGGAAATTGTTAAGGAAGTCAGCACCTACATTAAGAAAATTGGCTACAGCCCTGACACAGAATCATTTGTGCCAATTTCTAGTTGGAATGGTGACAACATGCTGGAGCCAAGTGCTAACATGCCTCGGTTCAAGGGATGGAAAGTCACCCGTAAAGGTGGGAATGCTGGTGGAACCACACTGCCTGAAGCTCTGGATGGCATTTCTGCCACCAGCTCATCCAACTGACAGGCCCTTGTGTTTGCCTCTCCAGGATGTCTACAAAATTGGTGGTATTGGTACTGTCCCTGTGGCCTGAGTGGAGACTGGTGTTCTTAAACCTGGCATGGTGGTCACCTTTGCTCTAGTCAATGTTAAAACTGAAGTCTGTTGAAATGCACCGTGAAACTTTGAGTGAGGCTCTTCCTGCAGACAATGTGGGCTTCAGTGTCAAGAATGACGTATCTGGGGGCACCTGGGTGGCCCAGTTGGTTGAGCGTCTGCCTTCAGCTTAGGTCATGATCCCAGGGTTCTGGGATCAAGCCCCATGGCAGGTTCCCTGTTCAGAGGGGAGCCTGTTTCTCTCTCTCCCCCTTGCTTGTGTTCTCTCTCCCTATGTTTGTCTCTCTCAAATAAATAAAAATAATATTAAAAAAGGAATGATGGATCTGCCAAAGATGTTCATCGTGGCAATGTGCCTGGTGACAGCAAAAATGACCCACCCATGGAAGCAGCTGGCTTCACAGCTCAGGTGATTATCCTGAACCATCCAGGCCAAATCAGTGTTGGATATGCACCTGTGCTGGATTGTGACCCAGCTCACATTGCTTGCAGGTTTGCTGAGCTGAAGGAGAAGATAGATCATTATTCTGGAAAAAAGCTGGAAGATGGTCCCAAGTTCTTGAAATCTGGTGATGCTGCCATTGTTGATATGGTTCCTGACAAGCCTATGCGTGTTAAGAGCTTCTCTGACTATCCTCCTGTGGCCCGTTTTACTGTTGGTGACATGAGACAGACAGTTGCTGTGGGCGTCATCAAAGCAGTGGATAAGAAGGCTGCTGGAGCTGGCCAGGTCACCAAGTCTGCCCAGAAAGCTCAGAGGCTAAATGAATATTAACCCCAATACCTGCCACCCCAGTCTTCATCAGTGGTGGAAGAAAGGTCTCAGGACTGTTTGTGTCAAATGGCCAATTAAGTTTAATAGTAAAAGACTGGTTAAAGATAACAATGCATGGCAAAACCTTCGGAAGGAAAGGAGAATGTTTTGTGGACCATTTGTTTTTTTGTGTGTATGTGTGGCAGTTTCAAGTTATTAATTTTTAAAATCAGTACTTTTTAATGGACACAACTTGACCAAAAATCTGTCACAGAATTTTGAGACCCATTAAAACAAAAGTTTAATGATAAACAACAACAACAACTCAGTCTTGAACATAGATAAGTGATTGAAAAGGAGTAGGAAAATGTTTGTGAAGACCAGTTAGGTACCTACTCTTGTATTCCAGACAGAAAGTGATTGTAACTTGCATTATTAGTGTGGTGTCAGTGCAGATGGCATAATGTTAGTTGTTATGAGAGATGTTTAGGAGGGAGAATGAATAGGATTGGTGATTGTTTGCTGGTGGGTGTTGGTGAGATACAGGAAAGTGACGGATGATTCCTTGATTTTTTTGCTTTGGGAAACTGGATAGTCCCACTTCCTGAGATAAGGAATGCTGGAAAGAGGATCAGGCTTGAGGGAGGCAGATCATGAATTTAATTTAGTACTTCCTGAATGTAAGGTGCTTATAAAACATTGAGTGGAGATACTAAGCAGGCAGTTTGATACGTGGATCTGGAATCTGAGGTAGAGGTCTGTCGTAGCAGTATACATTTGGGAGCCATCAGTGTAAATATGTGATAATGAGATAAGTGTATCCAAGACCAAGTTCTGAGCAAAGCCAACAGTTAAGATCAGATTAAATAATGATGCGTCTGAGAAGAAGCAGCCACCAATAGGGAAGAAAAACTGGTGGAGTGGCATACCAAAATATTCCTTTTTATTTCATTTATATACATATTATCATTGCTGAAGTCTTTGTTCCTTCATTTCAGTCTTTTTTATGTGTCACTAAATCTATTATTCTAGTGATTAGTGTACTTATAGTTGCTAAGGAAGTACTTCAGTGTTGACAGATTGGGCAGCCTTTACACGTTTGATAAAATGTCCCCAGGCCCACCTATCAGACAACAGCCTGATACATTGCAGACAATATTCAGACATTTCTAAATCAGATGCTACCACATGACTTTTTTCTGTAGCTTTTCTTTTCTTTTTTTAATGTACCTGAGTATAGCCTTAGAAAAATGTGATAATCCATGGTTTAAATGATCTAAGAATTTAATAGGTGAGATTGGACAGAGATGGGCAATTTATGGCTTATAAATATTAATATGCCAGTTTTCCTACATTCTCACAGAAGCAGAAGGGCCTTGGATTTCATACATAGATTTATTAAGTTGTAAACTTTAAGTGGTTAAAAACTGTCTCTGTTTCTCTTTTTTTAGAAGGTTTTGAGGAATCTCCTCTCCTGTTTTTTTTTTTTTTTAAGGTTTTATTTATTTATTTGACAGAGAGAGTGAGAGAGCACAAGCAGGGAACCCGATGTAGGACTCGATCCCAGGACCCTGGGATCACTACCTGAGGCGAAGGCAGAAGCTCAACCATCTGAGCCACCCAGGCTCCCCCGTCTCTGTTTCTGTTCCCAGAGTTTATCATAGTATATGTATGGCATGCAGTAGGTACTCAGTATTTGTTGAATGAATGAATGAATGAATAATTACAGTTCTATGGCCTGACCTCAGTTTATTTGGACAATTTAATAAAATAGTAGTAATTTTTAACGTTAAAAATTGCAGAGGTAAGCGTTCTTAAACATTGCTAGGTATGTAATCACATTAATCACATCTTTAAAGGCCCTTTTTCAGAAGAAGGTAACATTCACAGGTTCCAAGGATTTGATGCAGATATCTTTTGGGGGGCCGTTTATCAGGCTACCGTACCTACCTTCAGGCTATTCTTCACAGACCAACCTTGGTTTGAAAAGATAACTTGAGCATGTCATTCCTTGTTGCTCTCCACATTGACCCCAGACTTCCAACAAGGTTCTTTCATGATTTGGCTCCTGCTTATTTCTCCAGCCTCATCACTGGCCCCACTGTGACCACACTCCCTCTTTCAACCCTTCTAAATGAACTCTTCATTTTTTGTAGTTTTTATTCCCATTTTCTCCCTTTCTTTGTACGTTCTGTCTCTTTGGGAGGAACATGCATATTTCCTTTGCTTAACAGCTATTTCACATTTTAGCTCAGACATCCAGCTCCTTCTGAAGTCTTCCTGGATCACAAAATCCATAGATCAGGTACACTGCCTCTGTGAATCCCCTTTCCCTGTCATGGTATCTCTGATAACTGTATTGTAATTGCCTAGTTTCCAGTCCTGATTTCAATTGCAGGGTGACCGTAGGTACTGTGAGGGCAGGGCCTGTCTCTTCTGTCATATCCCCATAGTCTGGCATGGTCTCTGGCATGGACTAAATCTTTGTTTAACAAATAAATGTTTGAGGAAGAGAGAGATGAATTGGGGTTCCAGCTGCTAGAAATTGAGGTTTGGAGTTGTTCTCTTGTTTTGAATAAGCATGGAGATTGAAAAGAATGTCTTTTTCTCGTTCAGGCTTATGGGATGAAGATGCAAATGTCTTCCTCTATCTCACCAGCCTTCTTAGCTACAACCCTTTCTGCATTGGATGAAGCCCTGCATGGTGGTGTGGCTTGTGGATCCCTCACAGAGGTAAAGGAGAAACTTTCCAAACCTCCCATTTACCTATAACTTTCAGAGCCAGGGGAAAAAGTTTAGTTGAAAAACATGAATTATTTCATGCCTCAAGGGCATGGTTCTCCACTCAGGACCTAGTATAGTTGCTTTGCAAAAATAAAGATATTCAAAACCGTCCTTGCTGACCACCTAAAGTCTGCTTAGGTTGCTGTTTCTTAAAATTAACTTAGAAAATGATGAATATTATGAAATAGTATGAAACAATTTGGGGGAATTAAAAAAGGAACACTACTTAGTGTATTAGGAAGGAAACTTTGAAATTTTATTAACATGTGGGCAAATCATAGTATTAAACTGAAGTGAGCTATTTTTTGTTTCTGTTGTAGATAAAATTTGGTTCTAGGATGTGATAGGTTGTGTTAGTTATGTATGTTTGCACAACAAATTACTTCAAAATGAAGTGGCTTAAAAACAATTAATACTTGCTATTTCTGTTTCTTTGGGAGCGGCTTAGCTCAGAAATATTGGTGAGGGATGCAATATCTTGAAGGCTTTGTGGGGCTGGAGGGTATTTCTGAGAGGGCTCACTCATATAACTGGGAAGTTGTTGCTGGTTGTTGGTAGGAGGTCACAGTTCCTCTCCAAGTGGGCTCTTCCACAGGCTGCTTGAGTTCCTCGTGACATGGTGGCTGACTTCCCCTAGGGTGAGTAATCCAAAAGAAGGCAAGATGGAAGTGGCGACGCCTTTGATGATTTAGCTGTGGAAGTTACATACCGTTAATTTCTGCCACATTCTCTTCTTTAGAAGCGAGTCATTAAGTACAGCTCATGTTCTAGGAAAGGCAAAATTGGGTCTACTTTTTGAAAGAAGTGTCAAGAATTCAAGGACATTTTCTTTCTTTCAGAGAGGGGAAGAGGGGAGGGGCAGAGGGAGAGAGAGAATCTCAAGCAGGCTCCATGTGGGGCTTGATCTCACAGCCCTGAGATCATGCCTGAGCCAAAAATCAAGAGTTGGACACTTAACTGACTGAGCCACCCAGGTGCCCCAAGGACATTTTTTTTAACTGAATAAATTGGACATGTAATATTATGTAAGGTTAAGGTTTTCATTATGTTACTTTAATGCATTGATATAATGTAATATTGCTGATATATCAATATTTATCACATTACACAATTATAGTACAATATTATTGTCTATATTCATTAGACTGCATTAGATCGCTATTGCTTATTTACTTTTCATTACAAGTTTGTACTGTTAAACACCATCACTTTTTTTTTTTTTAAAGATTTATTTATTTTAGAGAGAGAGAGATAGAGGGCACAGGTGAGCGGGGAAGGGGATGAGGGGCAGTGGGAAAGAATCTCAAGTAGAGTCCCTGCCGAGCATGGAGCCTGGTGCAGGGCTCAATCTCAAGACCCTGAGATCATGACCTGAGCTGAAATCAAGAGTTGGACACAACAACTGAGCCACCCAGGTGCCCCAAACACCAGCACTCTTATCTCCCCACCCCACCCCCTTTTAACCACCATTTTACTCTGTTTTTTTTTTTTTTTTTACAGGTTTAACTTTTTTAGATTCCACATATAACTGATATCGTACAGTACATTTCTTTGTCTGACTTATCTTGCTTAGTATAATGTACTCAGGGTCCATTCATGTTGTTGCTAATGAGAGGTTATCTTCCCTCCTCATGGCTGAGTAATATTCCATTGTGTAGGTGCATGGGTGGTTCAGTGGTAGAATTCTCGCCTGCCATTGTGTATATATGCCGCGTTTTTAAATCCATTCATCTGTGTTGGGCATTTAGGTTGTTTCCATATCTTGGCTATTGAGAATACTACTATGATAAACATTGGAGTGCAGATATCTTGATGAAATTGTTTTTATTTCCTTTGGGTATATATCCAGAAGAGGAATTTCTGAGTTGTATATAGATCTATTTTTAATTTTTTGAGGAACCTCTGTATTTTCCATAGTGAGATTGAAGATATTTAAAAACCACCACAGTTCTTTTCCTTGCAAGCTGCATTGGCGTGCTTACTGGTCCGGTGTGACTCATGGACTTAACCAGGATACTCCTGAGGAACTTCTTGCTTGAGAGTTCTAGGAGCATAGATACTTTAAGCAAACTTCTAAGCAAGAGCAGACTCTGACATTCTGATAGTCATAAATTCAGGTGTAGATTTTTTTTCTTGAAGATGGGCATTCTGTTTTAGATACTATACCTTATTTTATGCCCTGTCTTCTAAGAAAGATTTAAAAATGTGTGTGTACTATGCTTGGAGGATGCCTATTAGATAGTTGATAAATGGACGAGAGACTCTTTAAAGAAAACAAAAAAACCCCTGCTGTTGCAGGGTACTGCCACCAGATGGTGCCAGAATCCTATTGTATGTAATCTTTTTGCACTCTAGCTGGACCTCTTCAAATGAGTTTATAACAGCGGTGTTCCATACTTATAAAGTTATTTAAATAGCAAATATTGAACTTAAGATTAACCAACTGCTACTTTTTTATTTTCTAAGTTTTAGAATAATTTTTAATACTTTTTCACTTGGCATTTGTCAATTCTTTCTGAATCCAAGTGGTAGTTACAAGCCATATTGGTATTTTGTCATAATCTCCTTGGCTGACTTGGAGCATGAATACTTTGACTGCTTATTAGTGGCCAGTTCTTTACTTTCTGTTTTAGTTACAGGTAGCCTCTTCAGTTATTTTGGGATTTTTTTCAGCTGAGTATAGGGAGTATTTCTGTTTACCTTTTAATAACAAAATTTTAATGTATATTTTATATATATGTATAAGATTAAATATATCCTGCATGTGTAATTTATGAAGTCTTTTGACCCTATGACTTAATAAGAACCAGAAGAATACCAAAACCATTGAAACTAATGGTCTTCTCCCTGATCCTATCTTTGGCCTTCTATTGAGATGTGTATGTGTATTCCTGAATTTTTACCATTCCTATAATTTTTTTCCGTATAGTTTTCTTTTACCATCTATGTACTTAAATAGGAGCTATAACAACATTTTATTTAGTTTTGCTTAATTTTGAGCTCTATTAAATCATTTCTGTGATTAAATCATATCTCTTCTATGAATTGCTTTTTTTACCTAATAGTGTTTTCTAAGATTTATCCATGTTGTTTCAGGTAGCAGGAGTATAATTCCCTTTTACTGATGTATCATATTCCATTTTGAAAATATGCCACAATTTATTTAGCTTTTTTTCCTGTGAGTGAACTTTTGGGTTGTTTCTAGTTTGCTGCTAATATAAACAAGTCCTATGAAAATTGTTGTACATGTCCCCTGCATCACATGTATAAGTATTTCTCTAGGGCAGGGATTGGCAAAACTACTGCCCAATGATCAAATCTAGCTTGATGTCTGTTTTTTTAAATAAAGTTTTATTATAATACAACTATGCTAATTTGTTTATGTTTTGTTTGCTGATGTTTATATGATAGAAGGCAGAGTCGAGTTAGTTGTGGCAAAGATCTCATGGTCTGTAGAGCCTAAAATATTTACTATCTGGCCCCTGTCTAGGGTATCTACCTTGGAGTGATTTCCTGGTTATAGGATATGTACAGAATGTAACTTTGCAGAATCAGGACAAATTGTTTTCCGGAGTGGTTGTGCCTGTTTAAATTCCTACCAGTGGTGTGCAGGAATTCTTCTTGCTCTATATCTTCATGCCTTAGTATTATCAAATTTCTTAACTTATGCCCATCTTTGGCATCTATGATCTTAGTTTTCATTTTCCTGATTACTAATGAGTTTGAATATCTTTTCATAAATCATTTGGTTATTATTATTTTTTTTAAGATTTTATTTATTTATTTGACAGAGAGATACACAGCGTGAGAGAGAACACAAGCAGGGGGAGTGGGAAAGGGAGAAGGAGGCTTCCCGCGGAGCAGGGAGCCCGATGTGGGGCTCGATCCCAGGACCCTGGGATCATGACCTGAGCCAAAGGCAAACGCTTAACGACTGAGCCACCCAGGCGCCCATCATTTGGTTATTTTAAAAGCAGTTTTATTAAGGTACAATTTAAATGCTATAAAAACTCAACCATTATTAATTGCATAATTCAACATTTGGTAATTTTCTAGTAAGTCATCACCGCAATCTAATTTTAGAACATTTCCATCACCTTAAAAATTTCCCTCATGCATATTTATAGGTAATCCCTGCTTCCATCCTCAGCCTTGGGTACCCACTGATCTATTTTTCTGTCTCTATATATTTGCCTTTTCTAAACATTTCATATAAGTGGAATCATATTAAAATGTAGTCTTTTGTCTTTGGTTTCTTTCACATAGTGTGACATTTTTAAGGTTCATCCATGTTGTAGTATGTATTAGTAGTTTGTTCCTTTTATTTTATTTTATTTTTTAAAAAGATTTTTAAAATTTATTTATTTGACAGAGAGAGGGACAGCGAGAGCAGGAACACAAGTAGGGGGAGTAAGAGAGGGAGAAGCAGGCTTCCTGCTGAGCAGGGAGCCTGATGTGGGACTCGATCCCAGGACCCTGGGATCATGACCTGAGCCAAAGGCAGACGCTTGATGACTGAGCCCCCAGGTGCCCCTAGTTTGTTCCTTTTAATTGTTGATTTGTATTCCATTGTATGGCTGTAGCACATTTTGTTTATCCACTCATCAGTTGATGGACACTTAGATTGTTTCCATTTTTCATCTATTAGGAATGATGCTGCTATGAACATTCATGGATATGTCTTTGTATGGACATAGGTTTTTGTTTCTCTTGGGTAGATTACTAGGAGTGAGTGGCTAGATCATATGATAGCTGTATGTTGAACTTTCTAAGAAACTGCCAGACTGCTTTCCAAAATAGCTGTACCATTTCACATTCTCACTAGCAAAGTGTGATGGTTTGTTTCTCCACATCCTCACTAACATTTAGTATTGTTTATCTCTTTGATTTTAGCTATTCTAGTGGGTGTATAGTGGTATTTCATTGTAGGGGTTTTTTTCCTCCCCCTT